GGAAAGCCTACTGTGAGACTTACTTGGTCCTTGAGCAGGAGAGCCAGCTGCAGTATTGACTGGAGTCAGTAGAGATTTCTAAAGCTCATAGGATATCCTTTGACTATCTTTTCCTTGGTCTGCTGTGTTTATTTTTTTTAAATGCGCTGTTCTAAAGGCTTGTTCCACTAATATTTAGGGACCTGACTTTTAAAAATCCCTAGTATTACCAGTTTATTTTCAGACACCCAAAGCCATATATCAGTTTGACACACTGTGGAACTTTATCTACCTTTTACTTGCAGACACCTAAGTAAATAGCCTCCCACTGTTCATTGTCTTCTATGATGCTATCCCTGAGTGTTTCCATCTGACATTATCTGAAGGAACTGAAATAATACAGATAAACTTGAGGAAGCTCATCTTTTTAGTCACGGAATTGCCAGCAATGTGTTTGTGATGATGGTTAGTCTGAATGGGAGTCAGCCCAAAGTCAGCTGTTTCTGTTAGCTTTGGATTTGATCTATTCATGTCTCCAGCTGCCCTTATGATAAGTACAAACTAACTTGCTAATATAATAGAAGTTAATAAATAAAAATCAGCTTCTTCCGAGTCTTGATGTAAATCACTATTTTTATTATTTTCTGTTTTTCCTTGAAGATGTAAAGTGGATGTACTGGCTTTTCATTATCAAAATTCAATAAGCAGTATCTAGAAACCAAATCCTCTGTTTCATTTCAAGTCTGGTTTTTTGGCATATTTCTGCCTTTGGTGTGTTAAGGAGACACGCAGTTTGCATGGAGAAAACTTTTTAATGTTTCAAACCAGATAAGATGGACAGTTAGAGGATGACTTTTTTCTTTTGGCACTGACTTTCCTTTTTGGGCTGCTCATTCCCACTTCCACATCATTCTGTCAGTCAGGCTAGTGTGACTCTGCAGCTGCATGGTCAATTGCATCAGGAAAGTAATCTGGACTGAAAACAATCCAAAAAGGGGAAAAGCAAAACCAATAAAAACCAAAGAAATCTGTTATTTTAAACTCTGAACAGTTCTTGTGGAGGAAACTTCAGGAAACTGAAATAAATGCTTATGAACTTATGACTATGGCTGGAAAATGTATATGGGCATTATGTCTGGAAGGCACTTTGCTCAGTCTGAGAGGGCACCAAATCCAGACTAAGCAGGTTAAAGCCAATTGCTCCTGCATAATTGGATTATGTGATAAATTAGGGCACTTGTGTAGCAGAGGCAGTTCTTAGGAGGGAGAGAGGAGACAGGCTATTATGGAAAAGAAGGAGAAAAATCATCAGTTCTTGTGGAATTAGGACGAGCTGTTGCTGCAGGTGTGGCTATAAGTGTGTATAGTCCAAAAGCTGATACTCCTATCAACGTTGCTTAAGTGTGTATTCAGCACCTAAACATTGCTTATGTAGCATATATTCCCTGCATTCATTACAGTTATGCTGCTTTGACATAGCAAACCTCTCCATACAGAAGGAAAAATTACTGGAACAAAATTTATACCTAGTGAAATTCTTTCAGGCTTCCCTACTAGTTCAAAATGTAGAGAATCGGTAAAAAATGGTTTGGGGTTTTTTGTCATAAAAGAGTGGATTTTGTTAATTAGTAAAAATCAGTGTGATGAGCAGACTCGTGTTAGGAAGCACCATCCTCCATATTGTTAAATTTTGTAGAAGAGACTGATTCTTGTCAGTTGTTGTCTACATTTCCTCTGAAGTTAAAGGAAAGGGAGAAAGAGATGAAGACCTTCAGGGTGCTTTTCCATCCCAGCTGGTTTAGGATGAGGTAAATTGCTTTCTGAAGATGCTAGCATCTCTTGGTTTATCAGAGGGAGCATAGGTCTAAGTATGCACTAGGTGTTTTCAGGTAGCTAAAGTTGTGGGAGGTGAATCCCACAGAACATTTCATTTGTTAAGATCACCATGTGGGCTGTGACCTAAACATTATGGTTTATATTTCTTGTACAACTCTTAGTTATATTTTAGCATAGCTGTTACAATCAGGTAGGTCTTTGTGGCTATATAAACAACCAGCTCTTGAATCCCACTAAGCCCTGGGCTCCTGTGCATACCCACTTATGAATTCAATAAGCTAACTGAACTGTTTGTAAAACAAGTACTTACTTTCTTCTATTTGCTTGTGAAACTGCTCAGATTAATTAGATGTCCCCTTGTTCTTGCATGAGGAGACAGAGACAGAGCCCATGTTATTATTCTTTCTTTCAAGTCAAATCATACAAATCTTTTTGAAGTTTCTTTCTCTGGTATCTTCTTTAAGAGTCCTTCTCTGTCTGCCAGAGTGTAACTATGCTGGGATTATGCTAAGAAACAAGTGTTACAAGCTTGAAGAGTACAGCAGATCTGTATAAGGTTTGGAATATTTTTCCTGTTACTTTCCATGCTCTTTCTTATGTATGCAAACAAGGTGTTTGCTGTTTTGATCACTGATACCCACTGAGCAAATGTTTTCCTTGAGCTTTCTATACGGATGCACAGGTCTGGCTTTTGTTTTGTTTTTCCCAAGCTGGTAACAGTTCACTCTAATCCTAGCAGTGAGTTGTTCAAATGAATCCCTTTTGTGTGCATTGCTTTGCCATTTGTCAACTTCTAATTTAATCTATTCCTGATGTTGAATCACTAGGAGCTCCCATGCATGAAGCAGTAGATACTAAAGAGATATTAAAATGTGAGGCAAAGAATGATAAAAACTGCTAGAGGAATGCCAGTTTAAGTCCTCAAGAGAATTTGGCAAAGTCTTGTGTTTGATTTGTTTTCTGTTTTGGAGAAAACTTAGCACAGTTCTGATTCCCTTTCATTGGGTATTTATCTTAATAACATACACATCAGAAGACTACATTCATTCTGCCTTTTGACAGCTTCAGGCCTTCTGCTGTCTTGAGCTACCAAGGATGACTCAACTTCTGGATTTGACTCAAAACACCTTAAGCCCTGTTCTGCCTTCTGCATCAGTTTTTTCAGGTGTCTTCAAACCAGCTGAGGGCGCTTGGTGGCACAATATACTGTAGTTTTGTTGAGATTTAGTGATTCATGGATGTCTAAAGAGTACGTTGGGCCACTTTGCTGAGAGCACAGATTAGAGCAGCTTTATTAGCAAACAGTGTGGTTCAGGTTAACAGAGGGCTGAGAAATTTCACAGAACAATGTATCTATGTTTACAGTGAAATTCACCTATTATAACATGAAAATCCAAATTAGATCTTAAGATGAAACACTGATATTTTGTTTATGGCATCTTTCACCATTCATATCTGCCTTCAGTTCTGATATTTTATTCCTACAGGGCGACACAGACGTTATTTTTCCCACATCCCATATGTCCAAATCATGTAAAAAAGATATTTAGCTCAAATACCATGCATGCAAAACATTCCACTCTGTGGGTATGAGGTGACGTTTGGTGTGTCTTTAACATGCTGTGGTGTTCAATTACAATACAGCAAATTTATTTTTGTGCAGCCTTCTTCATAGAAAGTATGGAAGATTGCTTTGCGGTGAGTCATCCGTCAGCTAAAGCACTAAAAGTCTTGTAGTGATATTTAAAGAGAAAAAGTGGCTCAGAGCTGACAGAGTTCAAGACAGAAAAAGAAACAGAAATGAAACAGAGGGCCTCCAACCATGGAGAAAATAGAGGCAAAGACTGGTAGGGGGAGGAGTGATGAGAAAGCCAAACAAGCTGGTAATGTCAGAGGTGGTTCAGAAGATTTTGCATATCATTTGGAAACAAACATCGGGCTTCAGGCGTCTCTCCTGCACTATGCCAAACAAAGATTCTTTGACCATAAGGGAATGGCATAAAACTAGGTAAATAAGGGAATGGCATAAAACCAGATAAATAAGAGCACAGGGCTCAGAGCACTTTGAGGAATTTAGAAACATGCAGGTAGAGGCTAAGGGAAGGATAAATGGCTTAACTTTCTACAGCAAGACTTTAGAACAATACTGGCATTCTGCACTCCATGATTGTTTAAATGTCTGAGGAGTTTGATAGACCGTGAAAGAGGGTATTTCAGTTAATTAGGCAGGAATTATTACAGGCATGAATATGGACTTCAGCAGCACTGCAGTCAAAGGGAAGATGGATTCTGGCAGTCTTCCCTTGCTAGTGCCAGGAGGCTTTACACTTAGAAGTGAGAGTGTGGGAGGGGCAGTCATTTCAGGGTCAGAGAAGACTTCAGAACTCTGGCTCTGTGTACAGGGATAAGATCTGAGTAAAGAAGCATGAAAGCTGTCTTCAAGAGCAGGAGGGACTTCTTTCCCATGATATTTGAGCCTTTTGAAGAATTAGCTAGTAAGGAAATTATAATGTAGCAAGGGAATGACAGGACCAAGACAGGCTGTTAAGGAGATCAGAGATTACTTGCCAAGGTCACTGATGCCTCGCATGCTTTCCCTATAAATTTGATGTCCAAAGCTAAGTTAGCATTAAGATATCTCAAAGGAGAAAGATGTTTAAGGAGGAGAAAGTAGAAGAATCAGAAACACATGTCTCGTGGTTTTAAGGCACAGCACTATCATAGGGGGATATAGTAGATATAAACACTGTCATCTTTTATTGTGAATCATATCCATTCTTCTTGCATTCTTGGTCAAGTCTACCAATTAGTGTTGTGGGGCTCTTGGGGCAGCTCCCTTATTCCATGTGCCTCAGTTTTTGTCCTGGCAGTTCTTTTGACCTTACTCTCTGTACAGAGCTATATTTTCTGCCTTAAAAAAGTAAATGTGATGTAAAGTATGTAGCATGAAGGACAGTAGAGTCTTTATTGAAAGCAGAAGGCAGAAGAACTTGTCTTCTTACTCAGTGAATTCATAAAAGTTGGCTTTGACATTGTAGTACTAAAAGGCATTCCAAGCATAAAAATAAGGTTAGAGCCACTCCAACATCATGGAACTTGAAGGGAGTAATATTTCATTGTATGCAGTTCTAAAATGTTTATTACAGATCTTATTTACAGCTATCATGTCTCTTTTGAATCTGCAGAGGAGGAATATCAAGGACAAACCAAGAGAAAGCGCATTCGAAGGAAGAAAAAAAAGAGCAGCTTACAAAACTCTAATAATTTACATGGAGAACAAACAGATTCTGGAATGCAAGAGACTCCTGTTCAAGATAATTTACAGCTGCAGCAGACAGACAGTCCCAAAATAAGCAAAAACAAAAAGAGGAAAATGAAAAAGAAGAGACAGAAAGAAAAAATGAGAGCAGCTGGCTTGGTAACAAAAACTACTGGTGTGGATTTTACGTATCAGCCAGACAAAAACAACAGAGAAGAAGCAGCAGGCTTAAAAGACATAGTTGAAAAGACAGATAGCATTCTGGACTTCCTGCAGGCAACACAACAAATTTATTTTGCTGACAGTATGTGCCACTCTTTATTACTACATAGGGGAAAATAGATGTGCAGTTATTGTTGCTGTAGAATGGGGCAGATCTAATAGAGAAATGTCTCTTTTGAGCTTGGTAAGACATGCAAGTACATAGTATTCATCCCATTTTCTGGTGTGTACATGAATATGTAAGAATCCACATCAGTATGAAAAACAGTGGTTTTAATCTCTTTGTTTCTCTGTCTTTGAAAATATACATAATATTCTTTGCTCTTCTTTAAAACTTCCAACACATTTGGGGTAATTGTAATGGTTAAAATGGAACAAATTCTTTGTTCCTCTATAAGCAATCATCCAGAAGGATTGGTTGCTTTCAGAGAGCTTCAAATGAGGGCAATTAAGTGCTATCCTACACTACTTTCAGCCTTAACTATCTCTGAACCAACCTACTTTTCAGAACATCCTGCTTCCCAGGAGGAAATTGATTTGAAAAATATAAGGAAATCTAGACAGACAGCATCCAAGAGGAAAGGGGAAGAAGCTGTTAGCAGTGGGAAAGCGTATTGGCATAAAGAACTTGTGAATGAGATGAAATTGATGCTCAGTGCACGTTCTATAGCACTTTAGAAAGGATTGCATGGATGTTACCCCTAATGACGTATTGAATTTTCATCTGGTCACTAAAATCAGAGAAATTCCTACTCCGTGTTTCTTTTGTTGCCTTCCTAAAAGCTGCTTTTATGGTTGTTATGTCAAATGCTTTTCAGAGATAATGATTTTTTAACGGTAAGTACTATAGTACTTACACGTACATACACCAGATTATGTTGGTATCATCTAGAATTAAATATGTTTTTTAAGGGCAACCTGGCTGTAGATGCTTAGCTCAGAGCATAGCTTTAAAATTGTAACTGTCTTGTAAAACTGGAAAAAAGCAGTGAAAAGGTTTTCAAAGAGTATGGCCTTGACTGTCTTTGTGAAGCTGAATGAGGAATATTAAACAACTTACCTATCTGTATGAGTCCATCTTAAGTCAGAGCTATCAGCATCCATTCCCATAAAATTCATTTTAGACTACAGAATGACTTTTAAAACCCTGTTAAGATGACATCAGGGATTTCATGTTAATTATTTTCTCTTCTCAAGATTCATACATAGAATTTTTTTGCTTACTGATAAAAATCTTCTGCTGTGTCAGGTCTTCATGCTAAGCCTAGCATTGGAAATCCATCCTACTCTCTGGCTGGTGTACCTCCATCACCAAAAATAAGAATTTTGCTATGTCTGTTGTATGGCTAATTAAATGTAAGGTAAGCTACATGCATTTGCTGTAGTGGAACTCCAGAGTAACTGAGCAAGATTGCAAACTTGGTTAACGGTTCTGCTGTTAATACATGACCTAGAGCAGAAACCTGGTCAGTTTTCCATAATTCTAAGAAAAAGTATTGAGGTTCCAGCTTTCCTGGAAGTCAGATTCAGGTTTTGGCAGACCAACTGGCCCCAGTGTCAAACTTTCAGATCAGAAGGTTGAGCCAGTGAGGACCTTGGAATCCAGAGAGAGAAATTCTTAGGTAAAAGTAAGTTCATCTGCAGATAAGATGTCACATCTATAAATCAGAGTGTGACTAACTTCCTTGTTAGGCAAATCCCAGTTTATATATAGAACTGACATTACGTTGTTTGCCTTTTCTAGTTGAGTGACTTGAACACTCCCCCATTTTTTTTAGACAGAATTGGAAGACATTGCTTTTAGCAGCATTTTCAAATGGTCTCATATATTATACTGCTTTTACTTACATCAGAAAGGTGAATTGGGAAAAATCTGTTTTCAGTTGGCTTGCAGATAAAAACTGGAAGAATTAAAGTGAGCATGGCTAAAGCGACAGACTAGACTTTTGTTACTGGAATGGAGCATGAATTTATGCTTTACTACTGTAGAAACAATGTGTCCTTCTCTGCTGTAATGCATGCTGTAATATCTGCTCTTTAAATAGAAATGTAAAAGTACAATTACAAGATAATTGGATGCCTCCAGAAGTCCTTTGCAGCAGAGTTGCTCCCTATCTCCACGTGTGTGTATACTTTTAAAATACACAGTGTGCCAGGAGCGAAAACAGTACTTTGGCCACAGCAGAGTTTCTTCATCACACATTCTTACTGTGCTAGTCTTGAAATTTTAGATTCCTCTTGCATTCCAATCAATATGAATACTAGAGTCCTTTTTACTTTGAAATTTGATACTTTGCCCTCTTACCATGGTTTTAATATTTAAGAAAAAATGGGAGGAGCAAGCTGCTCCTTAGTGTCAGATATTTGTACATTATACTAAAAAGGAAGATGCTGTCTTTGAAAAGAAAGTATAATTTTAAATATTCTCTGTACTTATTGAACATTTTTAATCTGGCTTTCCAATTGTTTTTCCAGGTAAATCAAGATGCACAGATTCTGCTGTAAATGCAGCAGCTGCCCAAGAGCTTTTGCAGTATCTTGAATCTCGCACCATCTCTTCCTCAGATGTGATACTTCTACATCGGTTGAAATCCCTTGTATTGCTGCAGGATATTGAGAGATTGAAGGATGCTTTGAAACAGTTCCAAGAACAATCTATGATGCCTCCTGGTAGGTACCCATTCACTTACATTCATTCACTGATGTTCTTTATTGTGTGGATTAAAATTCAGATTTGTCAAGTTTTTTTTTTTTTTTATTAGGAAGCTCTAAGTAGTTACATAGTGGTAAATAGATGCTTATACAAGGTCTGAAAGCATAATTCCCAGTGAAAATACAATGAGATTCACTGTTTCTTGTTTGGTTATAATCAGTATAGAAACTTCTCATACTTCGCAGCAACTATAGAGTACAAAATTATTCAGGTTCTTAAAACAATATTTTTAAAGTTGTAATTGTTTTACATTCTCTGTGGACTTTTTAAATCACAGGAATTAACTTGTTTATCTTGGAGATTTCACTCATCCAGTTAAAGATTAATTTTCCATGCATAAGAATCAAGAAAGCTCATCATTTCATCTTGGTCACTTACATGGCTTCTTTAACACATCTATTTTGCATGCCAAAGTTTCATTTACAGATTTAGTTTTGTTTAAATATGAACTTCTGGTTTAAGTTTCTAAAAAATCTGATTATGTAAAAACATAAAGTCACTCTTTATAAAAAAATACATTAGAAAGTCATTCATAAAAAGAAAAATTATTCAGTTACTAAATCTTTTCATCCCTGAGGCACAAGTCTGATTTCACTCATGCTTCTTTTGTTCTCTATTACAACCCCTATAATTTTAATAGAATTTCTTCTTGGATAGTTAATAGTTCCTCAAGTGAATGTGGGATCAGCACATAGTGCATTGAAGGTATAATAATTCATTTTACAAGTAGTCTTCGTTTTAAAAGTCACTGTTGCTTGTCATTAGCACTTTTGTTGCAGCATCAGACAAACCTACGGATGTGCTGAATTGTCTTGCCTCCCAAAGAATTTAATCACAGTTGAGAGCACTTGCGATGGCATGAGGGAATCTCAACCATTTTAGATTGTGCTCTAAGTCTTTTGACAAGTAATGACTGAGCTGGTAGTAGTGTGGCAACAGAGTAATATAACCATAGCCATAAGATGCTTAGCAGTAACATTCAAAGAAGAAATTGCTGCTTGTAATATCAAATAATTTACTGGTACTGCTAAAGATCCCAGTCAGAACTGGAGCCTACTACATGCTGTGCATTGTGAAGACAGAAAAGAGAGAATTCTTGCCTGTAGCGTTCATCATAGCTGATCACATTTCACATTTTGAAAGGGACACTTTTACAGAAGTGCATATGTATTTTTTAAAATGTTGATATGGAGTATGACAGCCCTTAAGGTTCTGATTGATACATCTGAAATATCCACAGATACATGGACCAAAATCCTTCTGTGCATTCAATAATTAATTTCAAGCCTAGATTCTATGATCTTAATTATAATCAAATAGTCTCATTGGATCTAATACACATTTGCAAACTAAGTAGGACTCATCAGGTCCTTTATTAAATGACCTAATTGAGCTTCTGTTGATTAAATCAAAATGGAACTGTTGAAGTGACCACATTCAGGATATTCTTTACAGGTGCTATCCAAATTCTGCCCAATACAGTGGGAATATTGTTTGGCTTTGCAGCCTTGAGGCAAGCTGCTCTGTTTACTTTAATATAGCAAAACATGACAAACTGAAGATAGAAAAGGAAACAAGCAAATTAGAAACAAATCCATGCAACTACCCTATGTTTTTTATGTATGTATTTGTCTCTTGAAAAGTAAAAGACAATTTTCTGAGTGACTGTTGTGCTGACAACTAAGTACCACACAGCTGCTTGCTCACTCCCCCCAGAAAAAGGTAAACCCCGTGGTTGAGATGAGAACAGTTTAGTAATGGAAACCAAGTAAAATATAATAATTATAGGAAAAAAAAGAGAGGAATAAAACCCAATTACCCCAAGTGATGCACAATACAGTTCCTCACTACCTGCTGACCAATACCCAGCCCAACCCAGGCAGCAGTTAGTCCCTTCTGGGTGACTCCCCCGTTTATACACTGAGCATGTGTTGTGGTTTAAGCCCAGTCGGCAACCCAGAACCACGCAGCCACTCACTCACTCCACCTCGCCTTTTTCCCCCTGCTCCCAGAGGAACGGCAATGAAAATTGAGAGATCTTGAATACCCTTTTGGCTAATCTGGGCCGGGTGTTCTGTCTCTGCTTCCTCACAGCTTCTTGTTCCCCTCCTTACTGGCAGACCATGAAACTGAAAAGTCCTTGATGAAGGTAAACATTACGTAGCAACCACTAAAACATCAGTGTATCAGCATTATTCTCAAACCAAAGTTGAAAACACAGCACTTTACCAGCTACTGGGAAGAAAAATAACTGTCCCAGACAAAACCAGAACAGTGATTTTTAAAATTTCTCTCTGTTTTTTCTGATACAGCCTGAAATAGTTACTCTTCCATTTGACTTTTTTTCCCTAGGAACTGTTGTCACTCCAGGCTCAGTTCTAATTCGTTCCAAGTTCGTGGTGGTGTAACAGTAGTAGTTGATTTGGTTTTCATGAGATACAACAACATAAGAAAGAGGAAAATACATTGATATAAATTATTAAAGGATATTTAAACACCTGGTAGATAATAATTTGCCTCAGCAGAGTTTAACAGTGCATTCAATTTGTAATTTGTTAATTCCAGTGAATGAGAACATAGTGCTCTCAAATTTTACCTTGAATAAGGCTTTTAGTTATCCTTTTTTTTTTCCTAATTTTGGCGCAAAAATAGGTCATCTTGCCCTTTTTTTTTTTTTTTTAATTTTAAATTCATTCCCAATGATCAGGTGATAAAAGGGTTTTTACAAAAACTTGTTGTCTCAGCAAATTCAAGTTCTTATATAGAAATACAGGTTAGGGCTGTTTATAAAGTTGTACAGTCCACTATAGTAATCTCTTTTGTATTTTACAAGTTTTTCTGATTATCTTGCCTTTTTCCTGGTTTGTTTGTTTTTACTGGAGCATGATGTACTAGAAGAAAAGGTCATTTCTTATTAGCATGATGAAAACAATTTTTCTTAATTTTAGCAAGGTGTATTTTTACAAAAGAAACCTATTTTCTTCCCAGTAGTTCAAGGAGCATTATGTTAACTCTTTTTTCCATGATTATGATTCTACTTAAGATACCAGCGTGAAAGGCATAAAGGGTGTTATGTTTTGCTCAGTTTTATTTTTAATTCAAGGAAGGAAAGAGTAGGATCAAAATGAGATGTGATCTGTCCCTTTCATATAAGTGTACATTTTCCATTAGTAAACTTTTCAAAGTAAACATACCATTATATATCTTTTATTTCCTCATATATATATAAATATATATGAGCAGCCAATGGGCGGTAGGCAGTTTGGCAAGTTGGTGCCTGCTGGTGATGAATTTGCTTTTCTTAGTAACTTTTTACAGACCATTTAGAGTAAAGCTATGGACTGCCCAAGGTCTGCAGACCACAAACTGAAAAACACTGTTTCAAGATCATGCTTTGGTATTTCCTTCACACCTTTTAGCATGTTATTCATATTGGGAATCACGGCTCAACCAGAAAAAACAATGGAGAAAAAGGTTTCTGTTTTGACTTAAGCTCCTACATCCCAATATATGCAGTCAGATCAAATAAAGGTCAAACAAGGTCGGTGGGAGGGTCTGAAAAAAAACGTAGGAAGAGAAAATCCCCAAGGAGATTAAAACAGACTGGAAAAAGGAACAGAACTATTTCCATTTATTTGGTGGTCTTTAACAAAAGGTACTTACCTCTACCTAAAGTCTTCTGAAAGTGCAGGGAAGAGAATGTTTAGAAGTCAAATAGAGACACATTTCTTGTGGTGAGGTCTTGGCTAATCTCTGTCAGAAAGTTAGTGGCCATTTGCGAAAGGAAGCCAGACACTTTCATGACCCTGCACAGTGCAGTGGACAGAGGAGAAGAGCTGTCATTGGAAGTAATGCTCCATTTGCTGGTTGGAAACTGTATCTTTTGAAATGAGGGCTACTTAATTCCCATTTCACATCAATTATTAAAGCATAGGTGATCACCTAATTAAAAAAAAAAAAGTCATTACCTCCTCATTTATTAACTCATTCAGCTTCTACTCATCGAGTTCATTCCATCATCTATTAACATTTTCCCTTTGTTGCTTAGTATCAAGTCTCAAATATACTCTTCCCTTGTTGCCTAGGAAATTATCACTCACAGAAGAGCTAGAGGCTTCTTTTAACTCCCTTTTTTAGGAGACTTGGCCTTTATATATATATATATCTTCATTGTGGGGAGTGAGGGGGTACATTTTGCAGGCCAGAAGTGATACAGTCACTGTGTGCCAACAATGCACAGGCCCTAAAATTATTAAATTTATACATTTTCCTTTTTTTTAATTTTGAATGAACATTCAAAGAAAAGGAAATTAACTGTGAAAACTATATTAGCATAACATTACAGAATCATCTTAAATGTGATATTGTGTGATAAGTACTGTAGAAAGCCCTGTCGTTAAAAATAAAGTCACACAGATAATCTCTGAATTAAGAAACCATGGCATTTTGGGGTTTTAATGCAGCTGTCTATACAAGACAACTCATTCTCAACTGGGCCTTCTAAGTGCTATGTAAGCGAAATAGTGTGTGAAATTACTCTGCAGACAGAAAGGAGTGGAGAAGATTGCTCTCTTTCAGCCTTACCAATATGATCATGCCATTTGGATCTCCTTTTTTGAATGAATTATTGAATCATACAAATAGGACATTGCAAAATCAAACCCAAATAATTTCCTATACAAGTAACTGACCTCCTAAAAGAAAATGTACCTTTTATCTAGAAATTCATATGTATTAGCCTTTAAGCTCCAATATCTGCATTGGTTTTACTAAAATGCTTATATGAAATGGAAACAGATGTTCATACAGGTCTTTAATGTTCAGAAATGTTGTAAAGGTATTTCAGGAGGAATGTGTTTTCTTTGTTTCAGATCATACCAAGATAATCACGTCTCTGTTTCACTACTGGATTACAGATATCCTTCCTGTGAAGAACAGGAAATAAACCCTTGCCTGTGTCCATATGCACTGGGTTAAAATTTAATATACAAACTCTTAACCAAGTAGCAATTGTTCAGGAAGAGCAGTGTCAATGCACATTCTACACCTTCAGGTAAATGAATTATTCTTCTGTGTTACAAACTCCAGAAGACAACAAACAGGGTATAACTAAATGGGATTTTTGATGGTTAGTCAAGAGTATGCACATTGTCTGTCTTGAGTCTTCAGCTGGATTACTATGTACATTTAATTTTAACATAAGGGACTTAGCTGGAATGATAAAGTCTGTACCAAGTACTTTGTTTAAAAGTGTAGTATTTTTTTTTGTTGTTGTTCATAAATTGATTGTTTCTTTCTGGAGATTTTATTTCTTGACTTTTCTTGTTTATCTGATACATCTGTTTATCTGAAAAACAGAAATATATTTTTATATTAAAATCTAAGTAACAATACACCTGTGGAATCCATGCTTGCTGCACAAACAATTAAATTATGGAAATAAATCCATTTTTACATGGGGGCCATGTAGAAACTCTTTGGAATTATGCAGAAACTTGATGGTATTTTCAGAAATACTCCATGTACCAGTCTGTTACAATGAAATGTGCTTCACTGACTGCAGAATTATGGGTCTGGGTTCTCTCACTGATCATTTTTCAGTCTTTCTGCAACTGAATTTATCCATGTGTAGATGATACAGTAAATAATATCCATGGTTGTAAAATGTTTCGGAATCCTGAATTAAGAAATGGTTCATGAGAGGCTCTTCTCTCAGCTGAGTCATTAACCTGATAGGTGGTACGAAGAAAACCATTTCTCATATCTCTGTCTTAGCTTCCTCATGAATAGGATAGGAGCAACGTATTTGTCTCCTTCAATATATGCTTCAACAAGACTATATAAATATATGTTTTTTATATATATGGCTTTTTTGCTTTGGGTGTTTTTTCATTATTATATTCTGTGATATATTATATTGCAAAGCATTGTTTTTAGTGATGTCCAAAAACGTGTAAGAAAAACACAATCATACATCTTTCTCATTAATTCAAGAAGTTAAAAGGGGTTCAGTAACATGCTAAAGGGTTGCAGGTACAGAAAAAGTGGTCTTAGGCATGGCTAAGGCAGCTGTGTGCAACTCTGGAGAACTTGAGTTAGGTTTGTATCTGCTAGGAAAAATATTTAAAACAGACTTTGCAGAGGGGAAACTAATGGTGTGTTCCCAGTTTTAATGCTCCTGACTTGCTAACACATAGGCACTTAACTGTAGCTGTGACATTTCACTGAGGTGCTGTGTATGTCAGTCCCACATCTGGAGAAAGAAGAAAACACCACTTGAATGTTAAGCACTTAGATATTCTATTGACAGATCACACAGGAAGTTAATAATTTCATCCTGAGATTAAAGTTTGAACGTCCTGCAGTAAATAAGGCCTAGGAACTGCACAAACAGGATATAGGTAAGCAGCATCTGTCATATACATTGGATATGAAAAAATAAATGAGAAGATGTAATTAAACGCAGTATTTTGAAACACAAATACAAGTCAGGTCAAACTGGAACCGTACAGACAACTATAGTACCTGCATTTCCTGATACTCGAGTGATTGCTGAGGAATGCTATAATGAGGACCGCAGGCCTAGGGATTCTTCCTCCGTGTCCTGTGAATCCCAGGCTGGTGCACCTGGACACCAGCATGTCTCTCCATCCCACACCAGTGGAAGAAACTATGGCTTTCATGTTTCCAGGTTCAGCCTATAGTGATGCTTACCACATGAGCAAGGACACACATACATGACACTCACATGACTAGACAGGCTGCCACAGGCAGGGCACCACCTTTAACACCACCCAAGAGTAACCCTGATAGGACTTGTATAAAACACAAGTAGTGGTCTTCTCTGGCCGACTGAAATTGAAGATCATGAGTGAAAACACTTATGCCCTTCACTCCCTGGGATCACAAGCATACCACCATTCACAGATCCCTTAAATACCAGCACAGGCCACCAACCTTTCTCATATCCCTGCCTGAATCCTGGATCCTCTTTCTTACCTGCCCTACACATTTCCTTCTCAGCAGCTAATCCAGCCTAACACACACTATCACACGTTCACACACTCACCTCACAAGTACTCATGCACTTGTCTCACAGCTTTGTTTACTGCCTTAATTTCTCATATTTATGATTCTGTTTCAGTGCTTGGACATTTCTTATAATATTGAAGTGAATTTTAAAATTATTCTGAATTTCACATAGCTGTATACAGAAGAGCAGATTTGGGTGTCCTTGACACATGGAGATATTTTGTACTATCAGTAGTCTAATCTCAATCTGTAAGTAAAATTTCTCACGTCAATATACTTTGCTTGAATTGGCTAATAATGGGGAAAAGATTGCTTTCAGACTCTCTTCTTTTCGTTCACTAAAACCACTGTAAGAGCCTTATATTCTGTGTGTAGAAATCAGCTGGTCATAACAAAACAAGCCTGAGAACAGTTTCAGAGCGTAACTAGAGTCAATGATATCTGATGTCTTTGTAAATGACCTGTGATAGAAGCTGAATCTTACACTTATCAAACCTGCCACTATTACACTAAGAGGGATTATAAAGAGCAGAGGATAAAGTAAAATCTGAGATGTCGGGGAGTTTGGAAAATTGGACCAAATTCAAGCAGATAAATTGTAGATTGTCACTGTGGATAAATGCAGTTGCATAAGAGTGCATTTGTTTCTGAAACAAATGTACCAAACAGTGGTGTGCTGAACTGCAGTGTGCATATAAGGACACTTAGGCAAGACACAAAAGAACACAGCAGAAAGATGTAGTTTAAAAGCAAAAGAAATGGACATTACTAGTCCTATAATAATACCAATTAGGCAGCGTACTAAAAATGGCAAGGGGGAAGGTTTGTTTGGTTTGGTGTTTAACATCCTATTTGCAGTCAAAAAGATTTCAAACACCAGAGTCTTAATACCAGGCCACTTTTCTGTGCTTCCTCTCTCAAAGAAATGGTGCTGAATCTCCCTGCACTTTTTATGGTTTATTTGAGAAGTGATATAACCATAAAGGCTGGGATATGAAAACTGAAAAATTTAAATTAATATCCACCAGTCAACACAGTGTGTTTTCCATTTCACTATACATGGCTTCTTCAGCATAGCAATTAAACATTTATAACTTTGGATTTTCATGCTGAACTTCTAAATGGCAAAGGAGATAGCCTTACAGTTTTGCTTCTTCCGCATTATCCAGTCATGAATGTGCAGTGTCATGTGGGTTTTCTGAGGCATGGAAGAGGGGTTTTTAGTGGACTTTGCATCAGAGAACTTCAGACTGAACTGCATCATGTACATGCTATTACCAGCATATTTCAAACTTCTGGGAAGACAGAATTTTAAAATCCTGGCTTTAAAACATAGGTGGACTCTAACAGTAGGAACAATGTAAGGATCAGCTAGAAAGAAGCCTGCATGTGGCTTCAAGAGTGCACTTTCTGATTTGCATAATTAAGCATTACACAGTAAGGAAGGAATAGCGGCACAGTGGGAAAGAAATCAGGCTCTGAGGAGATGATAGTTCCTTTACCTGGGCTGCATACACAAAGACAACCGCAGATGCTGAAGTTGTTTTGGGCATCTGTAGTCATGAAATGCTTGTATGTAAGGATATGAGTTCAAAGCCATCTCTGTAAGTAGGTACACTGTGAGAAATACCTTACTTCTTCTCTTTTGTGGATATGTAATGTGGGAATCAGTCCCTAATGTTAAAGATTTTTACTTCTTTGTAAGTGGTGCAATATTTCATATAGTATTTTACAATCATGTAGAGTTATAAATTCCTTAATGTGCTTCCCATGACAGCTGGTTTTTCTCCCCTGCGCCAGTGCAGGGGGCTGCTGTTCAGTAGGCTGAAACTCTAAAATGGCATCTGGGAAAAAAAAAAAAAGACTTAAAAGACAAGGAAGTAAAAAACTGGTGAGTGGCAGCATGAAGGCAGGAAATGGTTAAGCTGTCTTTGATCAAAGAAAACATATTTCACCCGGTACCATCTGCTATATCATAAAAGCAGTCCGCAGACATAGAGTGGAAAGTGATGTGTGTTATGCTGGTACAGTATGCTACAGGCTAAGTGTAATAACAAAAAGTGGTAATGAAAAAAACCTAGCAAAATGTAACACTGGAAAAATGCATTCTATTGAATATTTAGGCCAACCTGAGGTTATGGCTAGGTAGATTTTGTGATTAATTGCTTCATCCGTAGATTGCACCTATGGAGAGCTGCGTTGCACATGTTTGTGCAGTTAATTTAGCTTCACTGGTAACTACTTTATCCTCTGCATTGCATCTAAGTAAATTTTGTTGAATAGGCTAATTATAAAGTCTCAGTATTTAGCAATTTCAATACATGTTTTTCTTAGATGAAAACATTTGTATTTTTACACTCCTAGATATATGCTGAACTAAACCGTGGGGGGAAAACACTACATATATAAAGTATAAAATATAAAGAAAAAGCAGAAAATTACAAATGCTGCATATCTTTCCTATCTCTTAACGATCTAGGAAAAAACTATATATTCTCTGGTCATTTGAAAACAATGTATATGCACCAGAGTCAGTCAAGGTCATTCTTCAAGTGCGTGCTTAACTTTGTAGAATTACTAGTTTGTAGTCATTTTAATGAGCTGTATACATTTGCAAAATTTATAAGCAAGCCGTAGCTCTGTTCTACATTGCTACTGCAATGCTACATCCTGGTTTAGAATACAGAATAAATAAATTAAAAAAAAGTTATTTTAGATTGAAGAGGACTACACAAAAATAGAGAAGGAATGGATCTGTGGTTCAAAAGCTTATTTTGCATCAACTCTAGGTTGCTATAGGTTGCATCAACTACAGACTGCTTTTCTTTACTTTCAAGGTCTTGGCCAGTCTTCTCAGTCCCTCAGTCAGTGCACAGGTGATTCCTCCATCCTCTCAGCCTGTGGTACTAGCTTCCATCACCCATTTGCCACATTTTCAGATTAACACGTTTCTGTTTTTTCCCACAGCAATCTGCAGAGCAGTCTTGCTACTGTTTTCCTTTCCTTTTTAAAATTCTCCTTTACCACAATGCTGCCCAAAAGCTTGGCAACAGCTAGGTCAGTAGTGTGCTAAGACAACTGCCTACTCTGCTGACTAATGGTGCCTTATTGTATCTGGGTACTCCTACATCAATCTGCCTACTTTCTCACCTGTTTTCTCCTTCTTTAAACTAGTAGCAATCTGATGCAGGGTTTGGCCTGCTGCACATTACCCAACACAACGAATTTCTATTATATCTGAGGTGCCAGTGCACTATGGGAGTGTAATAGACTTAACTACAATCAAAATATGATAGAATATGTACGCAAAGCTGCTGATTAGTTGAAAATGGCATAATAATTTTACATTGCATACATGACCAGTCTGGTAAAACACGGACCTGGTTCTCCATAGTAGATGCTTTGGCGGAGGCAGTGTTCTTCTGCAGCTTCCTAAGGAGAGCTTGGAAACATGCAGGGTGGGATTAATTTCTCCTAACTTCAGATGTCTACAGTGTAGATTTCTCCATCTGAGCTGCCTAAAGAACTTTATAGTCACTTGGATGAAACAGATACTTGTAGAGCCCGACATAACTGATTGCTTCTAGACATCTGTTTTAGAGTAAGAACAATAGTATATATAGAAGAACTTGCATCTTTGACTGTTATGGGAGCATAAACAGGTAAGTGAGAAACATCTGCATTGCAGGCATCTGGATCTTGTAAAAAAAAGAAAAATCATTTACTGCATCCGAGAAAGGGACAGGAAAGTATGTGTTGCATGACCAAAACATCACCTGCTCCTGATGCTGGTCTGGCAGTGGCAAGCAACTTTGACAGGGATATGACCCTGCTCTCCTAGCCGCTTTCGTATTTGCTGTTGGGAAGCCATTGCCTGGGACTGGTAAAAGGGAGAAGGAGAAGAGTAAGGAGCTGTTGTACAGATATGCTTGGAACTCACACAACAGTCTGAGGAGGTGCTTCTCCCACTCTGTTCCCTTCATGCAATCATGCACAAAGTGGCCTCCAGCATCTCACAGAAAGGCTTAGTAAAAGATTGCTGTGTGATTTATTACTCCTCCAAGTCACAATAATGAAGTGGAAGTGAATGTAAATGCACAGAGGAGTAACCATTGCTAGGAGTATCAAACTGATTACCCATTACCTGTGTTCTAGAGAGTAAATCAATAGCAAATAGTTTTTTTTCAGAACCACAAGGGTAATCACCAAACTCTCTAGCCATAATGATAACTGTTAGATCTCTGTCTGGTGTGTTGGAGCTTAAAATGAAGGTCCTGTTCAAATCTGATTGGAATTCAGAGAAGGTGTCTTAGCTTATTACCATTACTATAGTGCTGGATTCTATTTACATTGGTAAACAGTTTAAAATACTTGACATGTTATTCAATTAAACCTGTGATTGCTAACTGACAGACCAAAGTGCATTGATTTTTCCAACCACATTAAGCTAAGTACGTGGCACAGTGTTTCATTAGCCTCTCTGCTTAACCCTTTCACATTAATTCAATTACTCAGTATAAAATTAATGTGTAAAATATTAAATAATTCTAAATTTCTAAATTAGAAGGCATTGCAAGAATATAGCTATATGCTTGATAGTTTTTGACATATATTTATTACTGGATGATTTACCATCTGCTATGGATCACATCGTTATTCGGACGGCAAAAAATCACTCAGAAGATTTTTTTTCCTCTGTACTCCCTCAGTAAATTGATAGATTCATAGAGGATAAGACTAAAAAGGACATGAGATTATCTTCTCTGACCCCATGTAGGTCCCTGGTCATAAATTTTCCTTTTACTTCAGGGTGAAGACCAGTAACTTCAGTCTGACAAAAGCACAGTTTGTGGGTTTTGCTAAAGCAAGTCTTCTGCAGAGACAGGCAAGCATAATTTAAAGACATCAAGAAAGGAAGACTTAGCCCCCTTCCCTGATCATCTATTCCAGTACTCAGTCACTCTCATGGTTAGAAATACATGCCTTGTTTTAAATTTGAATTTGTCTAGATTTAACTTTCAGTCATTAGTTCTTGGTGTGCTTTTTTTCATCCACTATTTCCTGTCCGTTTTGTGAATGCTGCAGTCAGTCATAGAACAGAACCAGCTAGGTTGGAGAAGACCTTTAAGGTCAAGTCCAACCATTACCCCAGAACTGGCAACTCCACCACTAAACCATGTCACTAAGGGCCTGACCTACCTGATTTTCAAACACTTCCAGGGATGGTGATTCTACCACTTCACTGGGTAGCCTGTTCTAATGCCTGACTACCCTTTCAGTGAAGAAATTTTTCCTAATACCCAATATAAACCTTCCCTGGCACAGCTTGAGACTGTTACCTCTTGTCCTGTCACTTGTTAATTGGCAAAAGAGACCAGCCACCTCCTCTTTCCATCCTCCTTTCAGGTAGTTGAAGAGATCAATAGGATCGCCCATGAGCCTTCTCTTGTCCAGACTGAGCACCACCAGTTCCGGCAGCTGTTCCTCATAAGACTTGTGCTCTAGGCCCTTGACCAGCTATAATGTAACCTCCTTTTTGCTACCCTAAACCTTTACAGTTTTTTTATTCAAGGCATCTTCTACAGCTTCCAAATTGATGTTGTGGCTCTCTTGTACATTCTGTCATAATTTTCCACACCACGTAGAGGTAAGTGTGCTGGAGCTACCCACAGAACTTCATTTAAAATCTCAGCAGTGTCAGCTTTCATACTTTCTACGCCACTGTTTGTGGATCCACTTTATGCCATAGGTTTCTATAGGGAGTCCATTTTGAATTATTTGTCACATTAGACAAGTACTCTTGAAACTTTTTGCTTTCTAGGATTTATTCCCTGGTTCCATACTTCTTGTTCTTTAATGTCACTTTGTGTTTGACCATATTAATGTTAATTTTCTTTGCCTGTGTCTAGATTAGTAAATGGTGGATTGTTTTGTGTGCCTGTACTGCTTTCATTAGTATTGACTGTCATCTGCTAATCTTGGTGTCATCTGCACATTTTACCAGCAACGATTCTATGTTTACTTACAAATCATTACTAAAAATGCTCAATGAAGTCAAGTACTAGTACTAATCTTTATGGGATCCAAAGAGAAATAGCATCATTCAGTCATGATTCCCTATTTATACTTCCTTTTTGCAAACAGAAAATTGAGATAATCTAGTGGATTACTAGTGTATTTAACAGGTACTTCATTGTTTTATATGCTGGTTTTGTTTTGATCAGAAGGTTGTAGCACTAGGTGACATCACACAAATCTAAATAGCACAAAGTGTGATGGTTGTCTCCTGTTGTCAGCAAGTATTTCTTCAGTTTTCTACAAGAACAAGCTTTAAATTTTTTAGGTATGGATAAGAGTCCAAACTAAATACACTGTACAAAAAACGTATTTTGGAGTGTGTAAGGGGAAACAGAATAATTGAAAAGTATTCAAAGTAAACAACCTCTCAGATTTGTCTTGTGTGTTTTCAATTTGTTGCATGCAGGGAATGATTGGCATTACTTAAAATAATTGTTGTGAAAGATTCCCTATTTTAAACATCAAAGGAAGTTCTTACTTCTTTCTTTTCCTGCAAGCTGTGATCCATAGCCTTAGCAACTAAGGTGCTTAGCATGTCCTTTTCTGTTGTGTTGTGTTCCAGCCATTAATGGAAGACCATTGCAATGAGTTCATTGACTACTGATGAAAAAAAGAACAGGTTAGAGACTTAGAAGTTTGCTTGGGAAGTTGCATTCACAGTTTTACAGTGGGATATGTAAATTTTCAGGTTTTTACAGAAGCAATTCTCTCTGCAGATTTCCAGGCCAAAGCACAGGCATGTTCACTCTCAATATCAGATGTAACTGTCTAAACCCTGAGCTATTGCTGGAAACCAGAGAAAGGATTCGACAGCAATATTAAGCAAATTTCAGTTTAATCTCCCAATTTCTGCTGCTAATGGAGTGCCAGCTTGCAGTCGGTATCATGCACGCAGTGATAGCATTTTCTGTTGGAGCTAGAAATGGCAACAACAAGTCCCAGTTACTTTCTGCCCAGAGCTGTCACAGTCCAGAGGGAGACAGGAACAGGTTCTCAGGAGGATCCTTACATGAGACAGAACCACCAGTGGGATTCCCAGTTCATTGCACTGGTTCATCACACTCGCTGTTCCCTTTAGCCATGGCTGTGTCACAGACTGGCCCCAAAGCTACACAGTGGAAAACAGTGGAGCAATAACAACATAGAAGCACAGTAACCAGCAAAGTCACAGCAGGGCCAGTTAGTACAGGAACTAAACATGAAAGAAAAAGGATTTTAAAACAACTTGCAACTGGAAGTACCACTCCTGCACCAGCTGCAGGAGCCCACAGTTCAAAGGCGGAAGATAAAACTGAACTGATTTGTACTAGTAATTGCAAAAGAAAAAGAGACAAGGATAGGAGATATTCAGGACAATACATTAGTTTGTTTTCTCAGTGTAAATAGAGTTGGAGAATGCTGTTCTGCTTCTTGCTTTGAGGAAAGTCTAATTGCTCTAGCCAGAATCTGACCTGTGGTTGTATAAAGCTTTCACATGCAAAGAGCATAAAGCCTCCAGCTCCCAGATTCTGCCTCTGTGCTACCACATAATGCACTTTGCAGAATTCTGAAAGGTCCCTTAACTCTCCGCTACACTGGAAGCCTTAAGGAAAAAAGCATCATTTCTATCAAAATACCTTGGCAGCATCCTTTCCCCCAGTCCAATTCCCTTATGCAGAAGAAAAAAAATCAAAGTTCAGTATCAAGCCAGAAACATTTCACCTGTCCTAGTCAGGGTACCTGAGACACAAAGGCATAGCTGAATATTGTGGGTTTTTTGAAGCCCCATGCCTGTCTCCTTTCTTTATCATTTGCAAGGCTCCACCTTTTTTCACAGAGAGAAAAGCAGTCTCAAACTACCTTGCAGGTACCATAGGATGAAAACCTGAACATCTGCAGATCCTGGGAAGCAACTGGCAACAGTGACTTACCAAGGTGATGTGAACAGGAGGGAAGAAGGGATTGCAGTGGTGATGCACAGACCCATTCTGCTCTGTGCTTAACAGCATTATTGTGGATAACTTGAGGGCTGCACTTTCAAATGAGAGTGGTGGGAAATTTGGGAGGTGAAAGTCACAAAGGTGAGATAGCATTGAGCAAGTATCTTTAAGAGGATAATTAGTCTTTCAAATAATAACTGAGGGTCCTCTCTATTAACCTTGATGCAGCTCCAGTTGTCCAAGGCTGATCGAAATCATAGGAACTACCAGTACCCAGAAATCATAGATGCTTAATACAATAGTCTTTTGCATGGTATTTTGTTTGAAGTCAACCAGAGAAGTCTGAAAAGAGCCCTGTAATACTACAGAAAATGTAAACTGTTGGTTAGAAACTCACACTAGACCAAACTTTGCCACTTGAGCCCCTAAGCTGACTTTTGGGTTGAGCTAAATACAGCTTAATGGGTAAAGCAAAAGCTGCCCACACAAGCAAAGCAAAATAAGGAATTCATTCACTGCTTCCTGTCAGCAGGCAGCTGTTCAGCCATCTCCAGGAAAGCAGAGCTCCTTCATGCATGACAAGTTACTTGGGAAGACAAATGCTGTAACTCCAAACGATTTCCCTTCTTTCTTCTTCCCCCAGATTTTATTGCTGAACATGATGCCACATGGTCTGGAATAACCCTTGGCTTAGTTGGGGTCAGCTGTCCCGGCTGTGTCCCCTCCCAACTCCTTGTGCACCTCCAGCCTACTCACTTGTGGGGTGAGAGCAGAAAAGGCCTTGACTGTGTGTAAACTGCTCAGCAATAATGAAAACATCCCTGTGTTACTAACACTGTTTCCAGTACAAATCCAAACCACATCCCCATAACAGCTACAATAAAGAAAACTAACTCTACCCCAGCCAAAAGCAACACACCAGGATAAGTAAGTCATCTGAAAAATCTGTCTAAATAAAGCATTCTACCTACAGATGCTATTCCTTCTCTTCTCTGGGTTCAAATCTGAGTCCGTGGACCAGGATATTATCTCAGTGCATAGAATGGTGTGCTTACGTTGCCGTCATGCCCTGCAGGGATATTCATCCCCCTTCCCAATCTGGCAGCCTGTGCTTGTGAGCAAGACTCATTACAACTGAGCATGCTGTTCTGTGGTATGCCCTAAGGCGGCGGAAATGACTGTGGTCCAACTCTCAGCTCAAGAGTATTGTGCACCAGGATATTAACTGTAAAATTGGCAATATTGCTTTGGTGCAGAGGCTTCCTCCAGGCACCCAGAAGACAGATGGCTTTATCAGTACACAGCCATTCACCTCTGCATGCAATTGGGAAGAAACACAAACAAATTTCCAACTATCTTTGCTAAGCAATTTTACGGCTGACTATCTGAAATTAAAGCACCCTCCCTTGGTTGTGCTTTGCATTTTTATAGTGACTGTCAGGTTTTTCCCACAGTGCTACATTCAGCCTTCTACAGAGTTTCTAACGCTCACAAAAATACGTGACACTAAGTTAACCAAGATGAGTGCTTCTGCCTGTAGGGAACCAAACAAAGGAGAATTCTGCATAATCTGTATAATTGGACACTTCCTATAGACCAGTGTAAAAAAACAAATTGTCTCTAGCAGGGAAAGGCTTTTGTGTAGAAGTTCATAGGAAGGCATTGGTACCCACCTCGTGGAAAGTGTAGAGCCTGTACAAAGGGCAGCTTTCAGCCCTGCTCCTCCTGAAGTGAACTGTGCACCAGTCTTTGAAGTGGTACGAGCTAGGGATTGAAGCAGTGCGTTTCTCAGTAACTGCGTATCTGTCTTTGCCTTAAATGAGTGGGAATCCATGAACGTTGCCCTCAAGCTGAAGTAAATTTTCTATCAGTCAAAAGCTGGTTAGAGCTAAATTTTGTGATGAAGCAGCCAGGGCATTTGCACCCCTCACTATGGTAATATCTGTGCTCTGGTTTCCAAATAAAGGTGACACAAACTCCCCATAAGTGAGAGGTAACACTAAACCATGCTTATCTAGTAGTGCCCCTTTGCCATCTGGGAAAAGCAGTATGCTGTGAAATGGGAAGAGTTTGCAATCAGCTCTGAAAGTAACTTCCAGGTGGGACAATCTGTCCCAGTGGTTCCCAATTCACAGAGAAGCCATGTACTGAAAGCTGTCTCTGCATGCAAACTGGAGAAATCAATGTCTAATAGTGAAAGTCTGTTGGCAAGGCTGTGATGCAGGAACAAGATAAAAAACTCAATGGAGGTTTTTTTTTTCCTTTACATACTGGGGCAGTGAACTGCATTTCCTGTCCTGGAGAAGGAGCATAGGAGGACTGAAGGAAGCCCTCTCTCTAACTCTTTGAGTGAGGAAAGAAAAACCCAGAAGCTTATACTTGAAACCCTTCCTTTTATCTCCAGGTCTGGGTAAAAATACAGTAATGTAGATCAACAGGAAGATGTAGAGAGGAGATAAGGAAGGAAGGAAGAAGAGTAAAAGGACACATCCGACTTGAAGAGTCCTGTTTGCTCCTTCATAAAGAAGGAACTTTGCCTACTTTTGTTTATATCCTTTCTGCCTTTTCATGTATCTTTTCTGAGTCTGCTTCATCCTTTCAGAGATGGGAGGACCAAAACTGCCCATGTTGTTAAAAATGCAGGTTCACCATGCCTTTTTTGAAGTTCGCTGTGATTTTTTCTCTAGTCCAAGTAATTTCCAAGTAATTCGGTTGCTTTTTTGACCCCTTACTGGGTACTGAGCTGACATCTTTGTAGACCTGTTACTTCATTCCTGAATGGTCCTTATCAGTTCAAGTAATTGCGTGCACCACAAGTTGTTGGTGATCATAGTGCTCTTCAGCAGCTCTGCACCGTCAGCTTTCAATTTTAGTCCCTGTGATAAAAGTAGTGGAATCAGCAGTCTCTGTTACCCCATTATTCATCACCTTTTCCAGGTCATTTAGGACTTTGCTGAGTAGCACAGATCCTGGCACAAAGTTCCATAGGATTGTCTCAGTGATTTCCTTTCAGTGGGAAAACTTCACATTCCTACTTTTTCTTTCATACCTTTTAATTGCTTATTCATTCAAATGAGGATCTTCTTAGCCCATGAAAATTCTTTTTAAGTGTGGGGGTTTTTTTCCCCAATGACTTTTAAAAATATACTTTGGTACACCTTGTCTGCTTATTTGCCAGTTCCTCACAAAAAAAAAAAAGCAGCCAAGTATGTAAAGTATGTCCTCCCTTTACAGAAGCTTAATGGGGTGCTTCCTTATACATTTTTCCATATGTCTGCTCATTCTTTTCTTTGCAGTGGTTCTACTGATATGCTGAACAAGGACATCAGGTTCACTGATCTATAGTTCCTCGGATCACCCCTGGAATCCTTTGTAAAACTTAGCCATTTCACCACCTTCCCATTGCCTGACACTGAGGCAATTCCCTGTGAGAGGTTACACACCAGGGCTCTCAGTTGTGTTATTTTATCCTTCAGTTGGTTTAGAGCTCTTAGGTGAATACCATCTGGTCCTAGTGGGCTGTCAGTGTTGTGCCCTGAGAAATACACTCCCTTAAGAGAGAACTCCAAGTGCGGTTCGTCATGCTTAAGTACAAGTGCACACTGCTTTGTCCCTGTTGTTTTGTTTTCCACTTGTAGGTAATTTGAATTCTGTTTTAATCATTTCTGCTTGGCCTCACAGTCAGACAGCCACAGCACTTAATCAGAATGAAGACTGCCTATTGAAAAAATAAACATTATAGAAATGCTGCTCTTTTGATTAAAATATTTTTCACATTTTCTTGCCCACGTTTGTTTTACCCTCTTCTTACAGTGATGAGAGTCTTGCAGTGTTCCTCTAGAGAGTTCATGACACAAGTCATGTACCTTTACTCAGGATTACACCTAAAAATAGATTACTGATCTTGTTAAATAGCCACAACTGTGCTGCACAATGCCATGCCACAAATAATAGATGTCTCTTTAAGGCATTAGGACATTTAGATAGGAGTATGGATAGTAAGGGATGGGAGCCATGTGTAATCAGCAATGTGAAGGGCAATTACAAGGAAACAAAACAAGGGGACATGTCAGAAGGTGTATGAGAACAGGAACTCAACTAACCAAGTTCCCACTAACGCTATGTAATTTAATTTAAAGCTTTGAAGCATTTCCTATCATACTTGGAAGCCGCCGGTAATTTATTATATTGCAGTTTGAAGTCTTACAAGAGAATTAATAGAACTTCTGTGGAATCAGAATTTTGGGTGGACTATTTAGTTGGCCTGTGGCATTGACATCACACAGCATACAGTAATATATGTTCAAGCCTTTATATCTGCAAGGAGGGGCCAAAACATATACAGTGTCTAAATTAGAAACCATTTTTGACGTTGCAGATCTAAATATCAATTACCACTAAATATAAGTAACTTTCCTACCTAGCAGATTGCTAAGGAAGACTTCAGAATCTCTTGATGTTTTTGCTTATGCATTTGCTTATGCAAGAGCGGTAAATGTCAACAAAACTCTACATTTTGATAATAGCTCCAGATTAATTTTAACTGTGATCACATGTAGAACAAGTTCCAGCCTTTCCAAAAAGAAGATTCTACAGGTTTGTTTAGAAGGTGGATCAGGTGCCTTTGTAGGATTCATGACTCACAATTTATAAAGCCATATGGAATATAGTAGCCCACACATTTTGACTATCTGAAAGTTTTATTTGAAAAGAACAGAGATGTACCAGAAAAACAATTGACCAAAGTTGTGTACTTCTGTTGTAAATTGGTGCTTTAGAATTTAAACCAAAATTTTGGTCATGCTTTGAATGTGTCTATATTATCTTCTTAGAATGAATCCTTTTCCATTCCAGAGTCCCGGTACCCCAAAGATCCCTACTGCAGCTATTGTTTCACACTGTGCCTGTGCTTTGAAACAAATCAGAAGTGTTCCTAGCTACAGAAAAGTGCAGGATACTCTATGTTAGGGTCTTTCTCACACATAAAATATGGCCAAGCCTCACAGCCATTTGCAGGTGTCGCCTTACCTATCTTCAGCTGCCATACCAAAATACCTGCAGTTACATGTCAGATGGCTGCTTCTTGAGCTCTCTCCTTTGTGTGGTTCACAGTGGAGATTTGCCATGTGGGTAATAGGGTTGCAATGTGGGACATACATAGAGTTGGAGGCAGAAGAACCCTGCTCAATAGTTAGTTGCGTATGCGCCTGCCCGTGTGCAGTTTTACTGTTGATAAAATTCCCCAGTAGCAATATAGAACTTCTGGGAATGATCTGTCCAGCTCTTTACAAACAAGTGGTTCAAATTCAGTAGCCTTTCGGCTGTGTGTGTACATAACAGTGGAGAGGTTACAACCCTACGTGGGTCAGTATGGCTGTAGACTGTGTATCAGGCTGCAGAAGATACATGGGACATTGTGATGGAGCCGCTCATGATCTGGCACATTCTGCAGAGGGAGTGAGGGATGCCCATGGACATGGAGTCTGACAGTCTGGCTTTTTGTCTCATCAGCCACAGAAGCAGCAAAGGACACAACGTGAAGAGTTTTCATCACAGGTTGTTCATATCAACTCTGACAGTGAAAAGCACCCACTGAGGACTGGCTAGCCATGAACATGTGTTCAGCCTGGCACGGGAGCTGATATCTGGTGGGTGTCTTGATGCAGATACCAATTTCAGTGTCCTTTGCGGAGCAGAGTGAGAGGATATGCCTTTCTTTTTCACAAGCTCACGCCTCTTTGCTCCACCTCTTCTAAATGGAAACAAAATTACAGGCTGTTCACAGGAAAGAGCCTAAGAGCCTAATGTCTTGCTTCTTTGCAAAATAGCAGCCATTGTATGCCACTCCTGTAAAGCAACAAATAATACACGGTCTTGGATTAGTAGCAGCTAATTGGCACACACAAACACAGGAGTGGATGTGCTGTTGAGTAATGATGTGTCTTGTGAGTCTTACATTTCTAGCTATATCCATAAATGTAGCTTTCATAGGCTTCCCTAGTTGGTTGCTGAAAAGTGCTTTTATGTTAAATGATGATACCCACCTTCTTCACAAACTGTCAGGATTGCACTGTGTGTACTTTCAGTACACTACCTTACTTAAAGCAAGTTGGTACGTGCTCTGAATACCGGGATCATTGCAAAACACTGCATTACACTTGTGAGAAAAAGGGAACTCTGCTGCCAGCTCTTTCCAGGGTTAACTGTGACTCTGCACTTATACTGAAAGTCTGTTTGCTGCCTGCCAGATGTGATCCTTCCCAGAACAATTGTTATAGAGAAATCTTCACACCAATATGCACCCAGAAAATTCTTGGCCCAACAAGCACGGCCCATGGTGTTCCAGCTTCTTGGTAGCATGTTGTGCTGGTTGATTTCTGAACCTGCCCCAGAAGCAGCAAGGCATAAAGCTGTTGCTCAAGAAAGACAGCTGATTTTCTGCTATTCTTTTGCTGTTAAATTTGTGTCGGTTTCTATTATTTCATCCCTCAATGGCATCAAGGCGCTATGGGTAGGCAGGCTGCAAATACTGGAGTAACTGCTTGGTCATGGAGCTGTGGGAAGAGAACGAGTCAATTCTCACCAGGAAATAAATGAGTAGTTTAAGCTACTTCAATGGCAACTCCATAAACCTCACCACCACAGTCTCTTGCTGCTGCCTGTCTGTAACCTTGGGTGACTTTGAGGACTGAACTATTTGCAACTGTCTGT